CTTCCACACACCATTTACAAATGATGATGATGATGGAAATTCCAAACATTAGTTGATCACACGTTTGAATCATTCGGCTCAATCTCAAAATGGTTGCATGCCTTTGAAATATGTGCAAATAAATGTGTGTAAGTGAATTGAAATTGTGTTCGAATTTCTGATTATGCTCAAATCTATCATGCGGATCCTTTTTCACACACCATTTCCGGTTCTTCAGATCAGCCACCCACCAATTTCACACAGACACACATTATAAATCGTTTTCATTATTCAAACACATGATCAAAATGACCGAATTGATTAATAGAATCGAATTGAAAATTGATATGATTTGGTTGCACATTGAAATGTCTTCATTTTACACAATTGCTGGAAATGGAAATATCGAATCTAAATTTGTGGATTTCTAAATGAAAACGGAAAGCTTTAGGAAATGCATTTAAGTTTGAACAGATGTACGAATCAAATGTGGCATAAAACTATTTCGAATACCTCACATTTGCATTTCATTTCTCAAGTAAAGGGTGTTTCAATAGCGACGCACAAAAGTAACCCTATCGTAAATCATGACAGGCTACCCGATCTGTCAAACTAATACGTCAAAATTATTCGTCAATCTTTACCATTTTGTGCCATGAAGAGATATTTCAAAAAGCAACGCGTTAAAATTGTGAAATCCAACCACGAAAATAGGTCCATTTTTTGAATTCACAAAAAATCAAAATGTCATGTGAGAATCTTGCTTTTTACCTCTCGAAATCCAATTTTTCTCGTTTTATTTATTTTTAACAGTTTTTACCTCAACTTGAGCCAAAAGTTCGCCCCAACAATCAGAGCAGAATTCCGCACCGTTTTCGAGATATAGCCAATTGGCCGTTTTTGGCCATCATGGCCAACATTGGCCAATTTTGCAAAAATGGCTGTGACAATTATTGATTTTTATTCTTTGAAATGACAGCTAGGGGCACTGGTTGTATAGGCAACTCCATTCAACAATGATATGACTTTAAAAAATAGTTAAAAAACAATTTATTCAGAAATGTCATATATTTTGGGCGCCAAATGCGTAGGTTGGTCACTCAATCCTCAAATTTATCAAAACTGGACCATTGTTTTTACTGTTCTGTGAAAGATATGTTTATTGCGAGTACCGTAGCTGAGTTTTGAGATGTGTAAAACAAGATTTATTGGTTTTAATAACATTAATTGAGACGTTTTTACAAAAATGAAAGTGAAATTTGGCCCCTAAAAGAGGCCACTAATAAAATGCGCCACACAGACTTTTTTCACCATACTCAGTTCAAAACATGGCTAGGACCAAACTACAATATACAATAGAGACTTGGGGAAAAAAAATTTAAATTTGTTTGTTTTATTTGTCAATACTTTTGTGCGTCGCTATTGAAACACCCTTCATCAAAGATGGGGGAAGAGTTAGACGAAGCGAAAGGAACAGAGAATGATTACGAGGGAGAAAGATAAAGGAAGAGAGAGAGAGAGAGAGAGAGAGGAAGAGAGCAAGAGCGTAAGACTCGAGTATGCTTCGTTGAATTCAATAGAACCGAGAGTAAATTATGAAACAAGCACGATAATGAATGAAATGAAAACATAATGGGCTGTATTTAGAGTAATGGCCATAGAATCACATCCATCTACACCTAGATCCACACACATACATACTAACCCATGCACGTATCTAAACTGTAATAGGCATCCATTTCAAGTTGTTTTCATTCAGCTGTGCAAATGAAAGCATATTTTTGCATCATTACACATGAGCTTCATCGTCGATGTCGTCGTCGTCGTCATGTCTAGGAAATACCTCTCGCTTTCATGCACTTAAATCATTTCGGCTTGCTTTCTGTTGATTATTACGAAAATACCGTGTCATTTAAATCAATTGAAACGTGTAATTATGTTTCAAATTCCGATTTCATTCGGGTGATAAAGCCCAAAATCACGATAAAGCGGCTGCATTTATACTGATAATTGCAAACCGACGATAAACACACCCATTGAATATGGCATTGTGACGACGGTGATGGCGGCGGTGGCCGCTGATAGCTCAACACATGGAGGAGTGTGATGGATATTGATAGTGGTGTGCCTGATTTGGCAATCAACTCATCACAATAGCTCTCAAGTTAATGCCATTGCAATATCTATGTGGCATTCAATTGAATGGTTGCAATAAAAGTATCGCATTTACGAGTACATGGAATCAAACCGTGATTTTGTCGTCATGACGACAATTTTCATGCAAATCTCAAATGCCTGATGCAGCCTAGAGACGACCTCTTTTTAATTAGAGCTTCATCATTACATGGGCATATTGGTTTTTCTTTTTAAAACTTGAACATTTACCCATTGATTCTATATTTATCCAGGCATTCCGTCAATATTGACGAACGCAAGCTAATAACCGGATTCAATCAAAAGACGAAAACCTTCGTGGAAGGGCACGAAATAAAACTGATGAAGAACGGAAATTGAAAGAAAAAGAATCGCCGTATCGTTCGGCTATTATTGAGTCGGTGTTTTCGTTTTTTTTTTTTTTCATAACAAAAACAATCAAAATAAAATGATGTCATGGTTTTGATTACCATTTTTTCTTGCCTTTCTTTGCTCTCGTCTCTCGTTCGATTCGCTCATCCCTTTTGATCGGGCTGCGTGTAATGTAAACCGTTTTTTTTTTATTTTTAGAGATTCGATTTAAGGGCCAAAAGTTAATCGTAGGCAATAAAATATGCATGAAAATTGAGATTGAACCAGAAACAAGAACAACAAAACGGAAGAAAAAAACTGGCCAAATCTTTTGTAGTATATAATGTGGAATGCGCGTGCGAAACCTCTTCACACTGAGAGAAATGAGAGAGTTGGTCGCTTAGGGTTTTTTTTTCTGTTTCCTCTTCTCACTTCGTTCAGCTCGAGTGTGCTCGAAAATAATTGAACAGACTAATCGTTTTTTGCATGTTGAACAATTTTCCGTGTGCACAACAGAACTCAAATTCGTCGCATTGTTCGACAAAGGGAAATAAAATAAAGAAATGGGAAGAGTGTTCTTTTTTTATTCGCTCTCTCTCTCTCTTTTTCGCTACAATCAAACCGCTGCTCACCAAAATTAGTACTCATGCTCATTCGTTAAACTCATTTCCGAGTGGGGTGGCAGAGTCGTATTTCAATTTTCATTCGGTTGTTGTTAGACACCCTAGTGCACATGATATTGTAACTAACCCGCTCGTCCGCTCGCACATTCCGTATCCAGCTAAAAACACAATGCCATTTTGATTGAATTTTTAATCACCGAAATCGCCCGCATTTTCATTCGTATTTCACTTGCTTTTTCAAACATTAAACACAGATAGAACGAGAACGAGAGAGAGAGAGAGAGAGAGCTGGCAGGACAACAACTGCAAAAAAAGCGGGAGAGAGAGAGAGAGGGAAATGCGACGAAACGAAAACGGAAAAAGAAAACGAAAAACGATAACATTAAAACAGCAAAGATGTTGAAATTGCGCATTGCATAACCGAATTAGATATTTTGTAAATTGAAGATTTTAATTTGATTTTGAAGCAAGTAAAATATATATATGTGGAATAAGCGCGTTCATCGTTGGATGTCTGTGTACTTTTTTTTTCCTTCGCTCTTCCTTCCATTGATGCTGTCATTGTAGACGCTGCTTTGCGTGAATTTCGTTTGATATCGCGACCGTGTTCATTCACATTTGTGCTGAATGCTCACATTTATCTGTCCTCGTATCACAACGCGGAAATAAAACTCTCTCGCTCTCGTGCCATCATTCTCACTCTCTCGTCCGCTCTCGCTGTATTTGTTTGTGCGACATCAAAATTTAATAAATTTATTTGGCAAAAGAAACTGTTTTAATCTGTTTCGGATCAGATAAACGCAGTAAATACACTTGCTCTTTTTTTCTTCTACGCTTATCATTTGTGTTGCATCCATTAGTCTGCTTACTATATACACAACATTGGCACCGCCATTGATACCACCCTTTTGTCATGTGCTCTCATTTCCAACCATCAATTTCAATCGCATTAAATACATTTTGAAATTCGTTATTATTTCAATTCCTTGGATTTAATCCGATCAACGAGCAATTACATACGCTTTATATTCTGCTTGCCCTTTTATCTTTTATCATTGTTATTTGTGTCAATTGAGTGTCTTTTCAATGTCTTTGCTTTGCCAATTCCTTTTTTGAACGCAGCCATTCGTTGCTCGAATTGTACTCAACAATTTTCTTTTCTCTTTCTTCGTGTAAATAATTTTGTTGTCGTTGCAACTACTGTTGCTGATGTCCTCTTCAGTTTTTTCCTGCCAACAATTCGAATGGATCTCGTTTCATTGCCACCGTTTAAATTCGTTATTCTGTGAATCAAATTCGAAATCGAGATCGAAAAAATATTGTTTCAACTATTTTCTTTTCTCTCTGATAACCAAGTTTTACGTCTGATTTCTTCTTTTTGTTACATATAGTTGTCTTGTGCTAGTGTATTTTCTTTAAATTTGTCTTCTTTTTGCCGGTTTCTCTTGAAAACCAGTCTTGTTGACGTTATTCTTTTCGCACTCGATTAAGATCAACCGATAAACACCATAAATCCCTTCCGCCAAAAAAGAAAAAAAAAATTCATAACAGAAACATTATTTTCCTCTCTTCTGGTTGTGTTGTATTCAAATCAGACAAAATATGAAGATAACAAAAAGTTTACAATTTTTTTCGGTTGGTGGGGAAAAACCCCGCTTTCATCACATCAATTTTTTTTCTTCTTCTTCGAATAAAGTTCAATTTGATTTCTGCAGAAAATATCAAATATCTCAAACCAAATTCTCTTTTTTCCTTCTCTCGTGTAGAAAATTGAATTGCGATATGTTTTTTTTCTCTTCCTTTTAAATCTAATGTAAAATCTTTTGCGATTTTCTTCTCACTCACCACACACTCTCTCTCTCTCTCTCTCTCTCTCTCTTTTTTTCTTTACAGCATTTCATTTATATTCGAACAGCACGGAGCGTGAAATGGATGAAATACTTTCGGTGAAGTATGAAGATGGTCGATGGTCGAAGCCGTATTATGATTGCGGTGGTGGCAATATCTGGATGCTGACATATACCGTACCATTTTTTGGCTACGAAAATGGAACGTATTTCTTCAAGTAAGTGCTCTATCTATCTCTTTCCCATTCATTTGCAACACGTGCGCGTCCCATTTCGGCATCAAATCGTTTGCTTTACGAAAGAAAATGAAGAAGACGAAGAAGAGGAAAAGAATAACAGTCAGACGGTTAAAATGGAATTTCCTTGCTGCAAAAGTGTCGTCTGAACGTGACAAACTGAATTTAAAATTAATTTCAATGACTCTGGTCTTCACTTTTACAATATTTCGTATTTTTTTTTTTCTTCCCTGGTCTTTTTTTCGCATTTCATTTTTTTTCGTTGCACTTGCACGCGGAGACCGTTCTGACGTCGATTTTAGCACCGAGCAGAATTTTTTTTCTTCCCTTTTATCATTGTTGTTGTTTTTGTTTCTTCTTTTGGTCATGGTCATTGATGTGTCACAAATTTATAAGTCCATTAGCATGATTTTCAATGAAAATTCCGTGATTAATTACTGCGACTGATTTATGATTTTTCCTTTAACGAACCAAGCAAGCAGGCAAAAAAATACGCTTCCAACCAAATACGTGCACCGACGATAAAATGATTTTGATGACCCTTGTTATGGTGTTTGCTATCAATTATTCCTATTTACTGCGCGCGAGCGAAACATGAAGGGGCTTGTAATCAAGTAAGGGGCATGAGCGGATTAAATCGGCAGTCATACACGAAATAATGAAAAATAAATAATAATAAAAAGCATAACAAATGAATATTGATCATTTTTGGGAGCACTTAAGCCTACAGTTGAGCATTTACAATGGGGAAGCTTGGATTTTATACAAATTGTCGTTTGAAGCATTGAAGCTTGCACCAAAATCGAATGAAAAATGTGCTTTTGCAGTAAATTATTCAGCAAACGAAAAGAAGAGAACAAAAAAAAATGGCATTATATTCTCCAGACATAATCTTATGTGCCAAATGATTTACAGCACATGATTTTATGGCGTTTTAATTTTTAGATCATAACATCATTATATGCGTCGTTCAACCGAGTAAATTGTATCAAGTTTCACCCTATCCCCGATAATGAGGTGTGATGAGTTGACATCGTTTTCAAATGATGCGACAAATAGATAAGCCAAAATTTTGCTGTTTATACAAGCAATTGGTTAAGAGGTTTTAAGATGGAGAGAGGCAGTGCGTTAGACTTGCGACATTAAGAAGAGCGAGAGACACAGGGCTAGAAATGGAGAGAATTAGAAAGTGTTCATCATATAAATCGTTCCACTTCATTAAAGTCAATTCAATTAATAAATAATTATCACTAGTTAGACTGTGCTTTCAAGTGTTGATTATGACCGTCTGAGCATTTAAAATCAATCCCGTACAATAAATGATTTATGAATATTGTTGAGATATGGTCGCTAATATCGTAGATAGACACAAAGGCACAGAGAGCCGGGTGCACAGCTTTAATGTGTTTTTGTATACCATTTTGTGAGGCCAAACTCGTCTCAAAATCCGACGATTAATGCAATTCATAGTGGGCGCTTAATTGATGGTTCTCAACCATATAAATGAAAAGTCGTTGGCTTCGTTCGAAATTTTCTGTCTATTCTCCGAAGAAAGCGGATTTTTTTTTCTGCTTTGCTTACGAGACGTTGCACGTGTTGTTGTTATGGTAGCGGTGTGGGCTAGTCTTCAAATGTTTGTTTCTCGTTCATGATTTTTCTTTGCTCCTATCTCTTCATATTCATTTTCTTCCGTTCCTCAATTGGCTTTTGTATTGTTTCTAATTATCTCAACGGCTTGACATTTAAAGTGCAACATTTGTTTCTTCTTCTTTGTGTTGCTTCATTCGCTGGCCCATCGCGAAATGATAAGCATTGTTGAGTGTTTTGGGAGCAAATGACAGAAAGGTCATGCAATGCAATCCATCAGAATGGATGCTATGAATATACATAGAGAGAGAGACACACACACATAGAAGAAAAAACATACGGCCACCGCGCGCCTCTTGGGCCCGTGCTCCCTCTCTCTCTCTCTCTGGCAAACTGTAGACAGTTTTGTTAATTAGCTGGGTGACACGCTAGTGTCAAACGCAAATGACGTCTATCCTTTTCCGATGGAATATTTTGCGCAACGAAACGAAATGAAAAACAAATGAAAAATATATAATTAGGCAAGTCTTAATGGATGCCATCAGTCAGTTTAAATGCTTTTGATTCTTTGAATATATGATTTTCGTTTTCTTGAACAATTTTTTCTCTCTATCTCTTCACATCGAATGCGATACATTGCAATGTTGTCACATTTTACCAAATTCATGGCATCGTAGAAATGAAGCGGATGGAAGCCGCATCGCATATAAATAATTTGTAATCACAGAAGATTCCGAAAATGATTCAGATTTAAAGCGTTTCAACGTTGCTATTATTTTTCGTTCTCATTTGCACCTGGCATCGCATAGTGTAGCTGATAAAAACGTATTCGCGATTATTTATAAGCTTTTCGGTTAAGTCGTCGACCACATAAAAAAGAGACACGTTCTATGTCATCCTTTCAAATGTGAATGAGAGGAGGAGAATAGAAAGATGAAACGAAACACATTCACCGACAAACGACGACAAACAATCGTGCTCACAGACGTTGACGGCATTTTGCATTGTTTTCGCATTCAGCATTCATTCAAAATACACACTGGAACTGGAATATTTTTGTATCAATTTTATATTCAACCGATTTTCTCATTCTTCTCATTTTCACGCTATCGCACTCGCATTTTCTTGTTCGTTGTATTTTTTTCTTCGCTGTAAACGGGGAGAGAGAGATGAAATGAGCCGGCTTTTTCATGCCTTCATTTTCATTGTCGAGATAAGATGGCATGTTACAATGTAAATGAAGTTGTCAACTCTGGTTTTACATATCCTCTTTTGCGAACGAGACCGAGCGAGTGAGCGCTCCAAGAGTCGATCAAATCATCAAAGGTAGCATGATAGAAACGCACATTCATTGTGTGTGTGTGTGTGTGTCACAATTTGACGCATCCAAATGTAGACCAGCAAATACTACTCATGCACGCCTACACTCATGAATATCACGTGGTGCTGCCACTCAAAAATTCACTATAGCCTAGTGAAGAGGTGGTGTGTTGTGTGTTTGTGTGTGTGTGTGTGTGTGTGTGTGCGATTTTTTTTCTCGTTGAATTTGCACACGGTTTATTTTTGATTTCCTCGAAAAATAAATCTCTTGCCAGTTGTCAAATTAATTCAATGTTTAGACATGCAGGCAGATCATGATGAGATAGTAAACCAAAAGAACATTCACGCGCACATATACATACACACAGAGAAGCCACAACGTGGTATTATGAATTTAGTATCGTTTGAATGAAGCTATTCAAAGCTTTTGGTTTTTTTTCTCGTGTTTGTGAATGCTCGTTTTTGTGAATGCTGGTGCTAGGCAAACGAAGTGTAAATGCGTGCTAGAATTTGTAAAGTTTCTTCTTTCTGTCGAATAATGAGTAAAAAAGTATGGATTCGTTATTGAATCGTACTTTTTCTGCATATATATGATTTTATGCTTGGGTTTTTTTTTATCTAGTTAAGCTGTGTACTTAAGCGTCACCATTTTCATCGTTTGAATCCACGTGGAGTGCTGTGTCGGCTGGAAAAAGATCTTCCGGGCATTTCTACTCATTTTTAACTGTTTCAATTCATGCTCATGTTTTTTTTTCTCTGGGATTTCAATCATACCAACGCTCGAACAGTTTTCCACAATATATGTATTTCGAAGGGATTCGAAAAGGCACTTATTGTATCGCAAATATTTCAAAATCATTTCCTATGCGTATTTACATACGTTGATGCGTCGCATTGTATCAAATGATGGAAACGTGAAAAATTCGCATAAAACAAAGCATTGTAAAAGGAAGAAAAGGGAAAAAATATAACGAAACACATAAATCAAATCTACAACTGAATCCTTTCTTTTCACGTCGACCGAATATTGCCAACGTGTGCACACATTCTCTTGTCAAATCAGTCAACAGGATATCTGTTTGCCGGTTTTCATCATTTTCAATGTTTCCTCCGCAACAGAAGTAATGTCAGATTGTTGAGTATACATTGTTTGATGTGTGCGATGAGCATACTCAATTCCAACGCTTTTTTTTCCCGGTGCTATTAATGCTGCTGTTGCTGTTGTTTGATAATGCTTATTGGTGTTGCAGGCGCATTCGTGACACTAGCGGCACTTTTAAGCCACTAACCTTTTTATTTGCCTTCCTGCCTGTCGACTATGCATACACACACACACACACATTCGCACGCACACCGGCAATGTGAATGGTTAAGTAAATATGTTGTTTCTTTCCTTTGTTTAGTTAAATAGCAAAGGCAAATTCAAAACTTGTCGCTTTTCACACTGAGTGCGCACAGGCTGTGCGGCAAAGCATATAAATTTGGCAAACAATGTAAAGCAGCGACAACACCAACAATATCAACAACAATCAAACTGAGAGAAAAGCAACACATTTCGTCCGTTATTGCCTATATAATGTGATTTCTGTTTCTGAATAAGTCGTACTGTATCAAATTGTTTAAACTCTTTTTTTTGCAATTCCTTGTTTTCATCACGATTTTTCACACTTTTCGGTATATGCATTGTTCATACGTGCGAGTGCGCGCGTGTTCACGTCAACAAATCAAGGGAAAAATATACATTTCCTTTTTTCCACATGAATTTCCAATTCACATTCATTCCGGTTGTAAAGAACAAACCGAAAGTGGCGAATACAGGCTTCAATTGCTGATAGTTGCCCCTTATTTTCACCATTTCGGGACTGTGTGTGTGTGTTTTTTTTCTGCCTTTCGTCAAGTGCAAAAACATCACAACATAAAAAGGACGCCAATAAAAATAACATACAGAGCAAGAAAAAGAAACAGGATACGGTAGCAATGAGTAAAACAAGCAGAAAAAAATGCAGGCAATAATGCTTCAGGAGATATTTCGCTTTTGCGGTGAAAGTTGTATTCGGATTTCCCATTGCGTTATG